AACACACAGTTTTGGGGCAGTATGAGGTCCAGTGCACTGTCCTTCGTCCTCTGTGAGTATTTGACTGTATTTTATTAACATTTACATTTATACATACAGCACATTTTTTAGAGCAACTTACAAATGTGGAATAACACAAAGCGATTAATCCTAAGTAGGCAATAACATGAGAAATAATAATACACATTTTTAAATATTGTTTTACATCACACAGTTTTGAAACATTTGAGGATAAGCTGGAACTGTGTTTGCAGAATCATTTCGATAAAGTTCACAGAGAAAAGATGAGTTTTTAGCTGTTGCTGAAAAGTTTAAATATCAAATTGAATAGTCATAAATACTGTAAGGGATTTGGCTGTCCAGGTAGGGTTATGAAGGGCATGCCACCAGAGAGGAACAGTTAAGGGGATAGTTCACCCAAAAATAAAAATTCAGTCATAGTTTACTTACCCTGGTGTTGTTATATTGCTGTATACAATTATCTGACCACAAAAGGAGAAGAAAATGTCCTGCTTGTGCTCATTCATATAATGGTAGTGAACTTGATGCAACCAGCTTCAAACTTAAAAAATAAAATAAAATAAAACAAATAAATGGATACAAAAGTATCACAAAATGATACAATGAGACACAACCCGTATTCTCAGTGTTCTGAAGGTATACTGTAAGATTTGTTGACATGAACCAGAATGGTAATTTCAACAACACTACATAATTACACTACCTTAATTCATGTTTAAAAAAAGAACTCATCTTGAACATATACCGACATCACAACACCATTCAAACTTAAAGACATCGATTGCATTGCGTATGTCTTTATTTGAATGTATCTGACGGGAGCCGACTGTCCTCAGAAACGTATCGTTGGCATTTTAATTTAATTTGACATAATTCCTGATAAAGCAGCGTTTATGAGCACGGTGCTGCTTTGTGTTCAGCCGTTACCGGGGAAACCGCAATATTTCCTAAAGCGCCACCTCGTAGCAGAGAATGAATTTGCATTTCCAACAAGCCTTTCTTGCTGTTAATGTTCAGATCAATGCAAATATCAACTCATGTTTTTACGCAGCAAACACATAGAGTTGTAAATGAGAAATTAGTTAATGTACCTTCTAAAAATCTAAACAATTAAGACAGTAATATTTATACGTTTTAAACTGACATCATAATTTATATGCTTGATTTATCCCTTTTCATAAAAACGGTCTAAAGGCTGAAATGCTGTTGTATAAGATTTTTGTTTTTGTGAAAACCTGTATCTGAACTGTAAATCATGT